GTGCAAAACTGGGGAAAATGTGGCAAAAAAATAGGGGGGGAAGGTGGAGGATAATGGGTGGAAATCTGGGAAAAATATGGGGGAAATACAGAAAAATGTGAGAAAAATGGGGGGAATGGGGGAAAATCCCGGAAAATGTGGGGGAAATCCGTGGAAAATGAGGGAAATAAGGGGAAATGCAGGAAAAATGTGAGGAAAATCCATGGAAAATGTGGGGAAATATGGGGAAAATGCAGGAAAAACAGGGGGGAAATGTGGGGGAAATGCAGGAACAATGTGAGGAAAATCCATGGAAAATGTGGGGAAATGTGGGGGAAATGCAGGAAAAATGTGGGGAAAATCCGTGAAAAATGGGGGAAATGTGGGGGAAATGCAGGGAAAATGTGGGGAAAATCCATGGAAAATGGGGAAATATAGGAAAAATGCGAGGAAAATCCATGGAAAATGGGGAAATATAGGAAAAATGCGAGGAAAATCCATTGAAAATGGGGGAAATATGGGGAAAATGCAGGGAAAATGGGGGAGAAATGCAGAAAAAAGGGGAAACATCGCTTTTCCCCTTTATCCCTAAAATATTCCCAAATCCTCCGGTTTTGGGGGCACTTTGGGGGTTCCTGGGGTGGTTTTGGGGTGGCATTTCCAGCCCGCCCGCAGAGGGATGCACGGAGCGATTTGTTAAATAAATATTAGGGAAAAAAACCCCGGAATGAGTAAACTTGGGAGCGGATGAAAGGATCCCAAAGCTTCAGAGGATTGGGAAGGATCAGGGAAAAAAAAAAGGAATAAATATTCAAAAGTGGAATTTCAAAGCTGCTTTCCCGGCCTTTCATCCCGACCCCCGCGGGAAGCGGCGGCGCCGAGAGATCCGCGGGGATTTGGGGGAAAATGGGGCTGGAAATACCTGGAAAATCCCAAAAACCGCGGGGAAAACAACCCCAAAACATCCCCCTGGGGTGGGGAGGGATTGGGGTGCCCCGGGAATTTATCCAGTGGGGGTTTGGGGTCACCTGATAAATCCACCTTGTGTGGATTTTGGAATTGCCTCGTGTGGGTTTGGGGATTCCCAGAAATTCCCCCGTGTGGGTTTTGGGGTCACCCCTGGAATTCCCCAATGTGGGTTTTGGGATTCCTAGAAATTCCTTTTTTGGGATCCCTGGGAATTCTCCCATGTGGATTTTGGGATTCCCCAGAAATTCCCCATGTGGATTTTGGGATCACCCCTGGAATTTCCTCATGCAGATTTTGGGATCCCTGGGAGTTCTCCCATATGGATTTTGGGATCCCCAGAAATTCCCCTGCATGGATTTTGGGATCACCTGTGGAATTCCCCGTGTGGATTTTGGGGTCACCCCTGAAATTCCCCAATGTGGGTTTTGGGATCCCCAGAAATTCGCTTTTTGGGATCCCTGGGAATTCTCCCATGTGGATTTTGGGGTCACCTGAGTGGAATTTGGGATCCCCTGTGTGCTCCTGGAATTCCCGTGTGCAGATTTTGGGATCCCTGGGAATTGTCCCATATGGATTTTGGGATCATCTGGAACTCCCCATGTGGATTTTGGGATCCCCAGGAATTCCCTCATGCAGATTTTGGGATCATGCCTGGAATTCCCTTGTGTGGATTTTGGGGATTAGCCAAGAATTCCCCCATGCAGATTTTGGGATCATGCCTGGAATTCCCTCGTGCAGATTTTGGGATCCCTGGGAATTCTCCCATGTGGATTTTGGGATTCCCCAGAAATTCCCCATGTGGATTTTGGGATCACTCCTGAAATTGCCCTGTGTGGATTTTGGGGTCACCTGGGTGGATTTTGGGATCCCCCGTGTGCCCCTGGAATTCCCGTGTGCAGATTTTGGGATCCCTGGGCATTCTCTCATATGGATTTTGGGATCATCTAGAACTCCCCATGCAGATTTTGGGATCACCACAGAATTCTCTTATGCGGATTTAGGGGTCCCCTGGGTGCTCCTGTGGATTTTGGGGTCCCCAAACATTCCCGTGTAAATTTTGGGATCCCTGGGAATTCCCCCATGTGGATTTTGGGGTCACCTGGAATTGCCCCGTGTAGATTTTGGGGTCAGCTCTGTGGATTTTGGAATCATCCCTGGAATTCTCCCATGTAGATTTTGGGGTCACCCGGGTGGATTTTGGGATCTCCGGGGTGTCCTTGAAATTCCCTCATGTGGATTTGGGGATCACCCCTGGAATTCCCCCATATGGATTTTGGGGTCACCTGGGTGGATTTTGGGATCCCCGGGGTGTCCCTGGAATTGCCCTGTGTGGATTTTGGGATCACCCTGGGAATTCCCCCATGTAGATTCTGGGGTAACCTGGCACTGCCCCATGGAGATTTTGGGATCACCCCGAGAATTCCTCCATGTAGATTTTGGGATCCCCAGAAATTCCCCTGTGTAGATTTTGGGATCACCCCTGGAATTGCCCCGTGGTGTTTTTCAGGAATCCCCCGTGGTGTTTTTCGGGAATACCCGCAGGGGTTTGGGATCACCAAGGGGGTTTGGGATCCCCCCGTGGTGTTTTTGGGATCCCCCACGGTATTTTTGGGATCCTCGCGGTGTTTTTGGGATCCCCGCGGGGTTTGGAATTCCCACGGTGTTTTTGCGATCCCCCATGGTGTTTTTGGGATCCCCCATGGTGTTTTTGGGATCCCCCATGGTGTTTTTGGGATCCCCCATGGTGTTTTTGGGATCCCCCATGGTGTTTATGGGATCCCCCATGGTGTTTATGGGAATCCCTGCGGGTTTGGGATCCCCCATGGTTTTTTTGGGATCCCCGCGGGTTTGGGATCCCCCGCGGTGTTTTTGGGATCCCCGCGGTGTTTTTGGGATCCCCGCGGTGTTTTTGGGATCCCCGCGGTGTTTCTGGGATCCCCGCGGTGTTTTTGGGATCCCCGTGGGGTTTTTGGGATCCCCCACGGTGTTTTTGGGATCCCCGCGGGGTTTTTGGGATCCCCGCGGTGTTTTTGGGATCCCCGCGGGGTTTTTGGGATCCCCGCGGTGTTTTTGGGATCCCCGCGGGTTTGGGATCCCCCGCGGTGTTTCTGGGATCCCCGCGGTGTTTCTGGGATCCCCGCGGGGTTTTTGGGATCCCCGCGGTGTTTCTGGGATCCCCGCGGGGTTTTTGGGATCGCCGCTGCGGGCGGGGTTGCCAAGGACGGGCTCTGTTGTGGCAACGGCGCCGCCCGGATCCCTTTTCCCGGAAAAGCGTCCCGGGAACAGCGGCGGCCGCTCCGCCGGGAGCCCCCGGGAGCCCGGGAATTGCTCGGGAAGGGTCGGTCCGGGACACCGGGACCGGGCAACGCCCGCGGCCGGCCGGGAGCGGGAATGGGAACGGGAATGGGAACGGGAATGGGAATGGGAACGGGAATAGGAACGGGAGAGGGGACGGGAATGGGAACGGGAGAGGGAACGGGAACGGGAACGGGAACGGGAGCGGGAATGGGAATGGGAACGGGAGCAGGAATGGGAACGGGAGAGGGAACAGGAACGGGAGGGGGAACGGGAGTGGGACAGAGAGGGGGATGGGGATGGGAATGGGAGTGGGAATGGAACAGAGCAGGATAGGGCATGGATTGGGAATGGGAATGGGACTGGGAATGGGAATGGAAGTGGGGATGGGGATGGGAATGGGAATGGGAATGGGAATGGGAATGGGAATGGGACGCATTGGGATGGGGAATGGGAATGGAACACAGTGGGATTGGGAATGGGAGTGGGATTGAGAATAGGACAGAGGCAGATTGGGAATGGGAATGGACAGGGAATGGGAGTGGGAATGGGAATGGATTTGGAATGGGAATGGGACACATTGGGATGGGGAATGGGAATGGAACACAGTGGGATTTGGAATGGGGATGGGAATGGGAATGGGAATGGGAATGGGAATGGGAATGGGAATGGGAATGGGAATGAGAATGGAAATGGAAATGGGAATGGGAATGGGACACAGTGGGATTTGGAATGGGGATGGGAATAGGACAGAGGCAGATTGGGATTGGGACAGGGAATGGGAATGGGAATGGGGATGGGAGTGGGAATAGGAATCGGACAGAGCGGGATAGGGAATGGATTGGGAATGGGAATGGGACAGGGAACAGGAATGGGACACAGTGGGATTGGGAGGAACGGGACACAGTGGGATTGGGAGTCAGAATGGGAGTGGGAATGGAAATGGGAATGAGAATGGGAATGGGACACTGCAGGATCAGGAATGGGAATGGGGCAAAGGGGAATAGGGGTAGGGATTTGGATTGGGACAGAGTGGGATTGGGAATGGGAATGGGAATAGGACAGGGGGATTGGGATTGGGGATGGGAATGGGGATGGGGATGGGACAGAGGGGGATAGGGAATGGGAATGGGAGTGGGAATGGGACAGGGAATGGGACTGGGAATGGGAATAGGACAGAGTGGGATTGGGAATGGGAATGGGACAGGAAATGGGACAGGGAATGGGACAGAGTCGGAATGGGAATCATGATGGGAGTGGGAACGGGGATGGGAATGGGACATGGCAGGATCAGCAGTGGGGATGGGAATGGGACAGGGTAGGATAGGGAATGGGAATGGGAATGAGGATGGGACTGGGAATGGGACAGGGACAGGGAATGGGACTGGGACAGCTGGGATTGGGAATGGGAAAGGACGGGATCAGAAATGGGACACAGCGGGATCGGGAGTGGGACATGCCAAGAATGGGCATGGGACATGCTGGGCTTGGCAATGGAAGAAGCCAGGATCGGGAATGGGCACAGTGGGAATGGGACACAGCTGGATCAGGAATGGGATCAGGGCAGGATCAGGAATGGGATCAGGGCAGGATCAGGAATGGGATGAGGGCAGGATCAGGAATGGGATCAGGGCAGGATGGGGAATGGGATCAGAGCAGGATCAGGAATGGGATCAGGGCAGGATGGGGAATGGGATCAGAGCAGGATCAGGAATGGGATCAGAGCAGGATCAGGAATGGGATCAGGGCAGGATCAGGAATGGGATCAGAGCAGGATCAGGAATGGGACAGCTGGAAAAGGGAATGAGACATGGTGGGATCAGGAATGGGAGAGCCGAGAACAGGACTGGGACATGCTCACGCTGCTCACCCCAATCCCTGTCCCCGCTGTCCCCGCTGTCCCCGCTGTCCCCGCTGTCCCCGCCAGCTGTGCCCGCCAGCTGTGCCCGCCCGGGATGTCCCTGCCAGCCCCGGGCAGGGCCGTGCCCGGACGGGAGCCGCTCCGGAGGCACGGGAACATCCCGAGCCTGGATTCCCCCTTGGAGCACCTTCCTGCTCCAGCCTTCCCGCTTCTCCCTGGCGCTTCCCAGGAGAGCAGGGGACACTGCCAGGAGCCGGTGAGTGACACGGGGGACACGCACGGGGGGACAGCGATGTCCCCAGGGTGGCCTGGGAGGGGACAGCCCTGGGCTTGGCCGCTGCTCAGCTCGGGAACGAAGAGATTCCTGGATTTCCCCATTCCCAGCAGATGTGGAGGAAGGATTGGAGCCTCTGGCTGCTCCTGCTCCCCTTTCCCTGTCCCCAAGGTCACCCCCGCCAGGCTGGTGGCCAAGGCCATTCCCGAGGCCGTTCCTGAGGCACGTGGCTGCCTCTGGCCAAGGTCTTGTGGCCACCAGGATCCTTCCCGAGGGGATCCAGGATAATTCCTCAGGAATTATTCTCCCCCTCCCCGGCATCTCCAGCCGCACACAAGCCAAAAAAATCCAGGAGAATCCACTGGGAATGTTCATCCCTCTGTGGTTCTTCACCCCATCCCTGTTTTAAAGAGCTGGAAAGCCCCAAAAAGCTCCGAGTTTGGGGATCCCAGGGTCAACCCCACATCCCTGGAGATTCCACAGGGGATGGGTGGGAAAAAAGGGAAAGAGGGAGATGGGGAAGTGGAAAGAGAGGAGAAGGTTTGGAAGGACAGAAGGAAGGATGGATGGATGGATGGAGGATGGATGGATGGATGGATGGATGATGGATGATGGATGATGGATGGATGGATGGATGGATGGATGGATGGATGGATGATGGATGGATGGATGGATGATGGATGGATGGATGGATGGATGGATGGATGGATGGATGGATGATGGATGGATGATGGATGGATGGATGGATGGATGGATGGATGGATGGATGGATGGATGATGGATGGATGGATGATGGATGGATGGATGGATGATGGATGATGGATGGATGGATGGATGATGGATGGATGGATGATGGATGGATGGATGGATGATGGATGGATGGATGGATGATGGATGGATGGATGATGGATGGATGATGGATGGATGATGGATGGATGGATGATGGATGGATGGATGGATGGATGGATGGATGGATGGATGGAGGATGGATGGATGGATGATGGATGGATGATGGATGGATGGATGGATGGATGGATGGATGGATGGATGGATGGATGGATGATGGATGGATGATGGATGGATGGATGATGGATGATGGATGGATGATGGATGGATGGATGGATGATGGATGGATGGATGGATGGATGGATGGATGGATGATGGATGATGGATGGATGGATGGATGGATGGATGGATGGATGGATGGATGGATGATGGATGATGGATGGATGATGGATGATGGATGGATGGATGGATGGATGATGGATGGATGGATGGATGGATGATGGATGGATGGATGATGGATGGATGGATGATGGATGGATGGATGATGGATGATGGATGGATGGATGGATGGATGATGGATGGATGGATGGATGGATGGATGGATGGATGGATGGATGGATGATGGATGATGGATGGATGGATGGATGGATGATGGATGGATGGATGGATGGACGGATGATGGATGGATGGATGGATGGACGGATGGATGGATGATGGATGGATGGATGGATGATGGATGGATGGATGATGGATGGATGATGGATGGATGATGGATGGATGGATGATGGATGGATGGATGGATGGATGGATGGATGGATGGATGGAGGATGGATGATGGATGGATGGATGATGGATGGATGGATGGATGGATGGATGGATGATGGATGGATGATGGATGGATGATGGATGGATGGATGATGGATGGATGATGGATGATGGATGGATGGATGATGGATGGATGGATGGATGGATGGATGGATGGATGATGGATGGATGGATGGATGATGGATGGATGATGGATGGATGGATGGATGATGGATGATGGATGGATGATGGATGGATGGTGACAGGAGCAGGGGACAATCTGAACATCTCCCAGCTCCCCCATGGTGTGTCCAACCATCATCGCAAGCCAAGCCCTGGGACCATGGGGCACATCCCTGTCCGGGGGCCATCCCTGTCATTCCGGCTCCCCAGGACATTGGCAGCCACCGCCTGGCGCTGCAGAGGATGGCGGGGGACCTGCTGTCCCTGCGCCGCCGCGTTGCCAGCCTGGAGGCCGAGAACGGGCACCTGCGGCACAGCCTGGCACGGCTCCGGGAGCCGGCGCAGCTCCGCGGCACCGACCTGGACGTGCTGACCCGGGACGAGCTGCTGGACAAGCTGGGTGCGTGCCGGGCACGGGCCGGGCACAATGGGCACTGCCAGCCTGCGAGGTGACCAGGACAAGGCACATCATCCTGGGGACAGGCAGGGCACGCTGGGCACTGCCACTATGGGTGGGTGACCAGGACAAGGCACATCACCCTGGGGACAGGCAGGGCACGCTGGGCACTGCCACTATGGGGGGATGATGGGCATCTGGTGTGTCACCATGGGGCTGGGCAGGTCCACACTGGGCACTGCCACTCCGGGTGGGTGACCAGGACAAGGCACATCATCCTGGGGACAGGCAGGGCACGCTGGGCACTGCCACCCCAGGTGGAGGATGGGGACCTGGTGTGTCACCATGGGGACAGGAAGGACATGTTGGGCACTGCCACCCGGGGTGGTGACAGGGCTGTCCCCGCTGCCACCCGGGGTGGTGACAGGGCTGTCCCCGCAGCCACCCTGGCCCGCGAACTGGCAGCGGGCGCGGCGGAGCTGAGGGCGCTGCGGGACCGGGTGCAGCGGCTGCAGAACGAGCTGATCCGGGTATGGCACCGCGGGCACCGTGGGCACCGTGGGCACCGTGGGCACCTCGGGGCCGTGCCCGGAACTCCCGGGGGATTGTCCCCGCAGAAAAACGACCGCGAGAAGGAGCTGGTGCTGCTCCAGCGGCGCCACCAGCAGCAGCAGCTGGCACTGAGCGGGTGCCAGCACAGGGCGGCCAAGGCCGGGGCGCTGGAGCGGGCGCTGCGGCAGCAGGAGAAGGTGACACGCTCAGGGGGACAAGGACGGGCTTGGGGACACCCAGAGGCCCCAGGGCTCGGGCCAGCCCTGCACAGGGTGGGCACGGAGCCCTGGAACTGCGCTGGGGACACGGGGACAGCGGTGCCCTGTGCCCAGGTGATCGAGGCCATGGAGCGGCTGCTGCGGGAAAGGAGCACCGAGAGAGCCATGGGTGGGTGTAAGGGGACAGGGACACTCAGGGATGTCCCCAATGGTCCCTGGCATGGTCCAGGGTGGGCAGAAGGGGACAGGGACACTCGGGGATGTCCCCAAAGGTCCCTGGGATGGTCCAGGGTGGGCAGGAGAGACCCAGGGTGGGCAGAAGGGGACAGGGACACTCTGGGATGTCCCCAGCAGTCCTTAGGATGGTCCAGGGTGGGCAGGAGGGGACAGGGACACTCAGGGATGTCCCCAGTGGTCCTTGGGATGGTCCAGGGTGGGCAGGAGGGGACAGGGACACAAGGGGATGTACCCAATGGTCCTTGGGATGGTCCAGGGTGGGCAGGAGAGACCCAGGGTGGGCAGGAGAGACCCAGGGTGGGCAGGAGGGGACAGGGACACTCGGGGATGTCCCCAATGGTCCCTGGGATGGTCCAGGGTGGGCAGGAGGGGACAGGGACACTCTGGGATGTCCCCAGTGGTCCTTGGTATGGTCCAGAGTGGGCAGGAGGGGACAGGGACACAAGGGGATGGCCCCATTTGTCCCTGGGATGGTCCAGGGTGGGCAGGAGGGGACAGGGACACTCGGGGATGTCCCCAATGGTCCCTGGGATGGTCCAGGGTGGGCAGAAGGGGACAGGGACACTCGGGGATGTCCCCAAAGGTCCCTGGGATGGTCCAGGATGGGCAGGAGGGGACAGGGACACTTGGGGATGTCCCCAGTGGTCCCTGGGATGGTCCAGGGTGGGCAGGAGGGGACAGGGACACTTGGGGATGTCCCCAGTGGTCCCTGGGATGGTCCAGGGTGGGCAGAAGGGGACAGGGACACTCGGGGATGTCCCCAAAGGTCCTTGGGATGGTCCAGGGTGGGCAGGAGGGGACAGGGACACTCAGAGATGTCCCCAAAGGTCCCTGGGGGCTGGGATAGTCCAGAGTGGATGTGGAGGGGACAGCTACACTCAGAGATGTCCCCGACCCTCAGGGATGTCCCCAACCCTTCCTGTGCCCCCCCTGCCAGGGGGTCCCTCATTCTCGAGCCCCTGGTAGAAGCCGGGACTCGCTGTCCCCGTGTCCCTGCGTGGGGAGGGGACACGGGACACGTCCCGCTGTCCCCCCAGAGGTGCCACCGCACCGGTGCCACCCTACAGGTGCCACTGTGGCGGCACTGCTGGCCCAGACGCGGGAGGAGCCAGCCGGACCCCCCCGGGCCGCGGTGAGAGCGGGAGGGGACACGGGGCTGGCACAGGGGACAGAACCGGGCACGGCACCGCGGGTGGCAGCGGTGCCAGAGGTGACCCCGACGCGCTCCTGCCGTGCCCGCAGCGGCTCCTGGGGGCCACCGAGAAGCTGGAGCTGCTGGCCCGGCTGGAGGAGGCGCAGGGCCGGGCCCGGGTGCTGGAGAGGCAGGTGGGCACTGCAGAGCGGGGCTTTGGGGTCAGCCAAAGTGCTTTGGGGTCAGTCAGAGCGGTTTGGGGTCCCCCAGCATGTTTTAGGGTCACCCAACATGGTTTGGGGTCACTCAATATGGTTTGGGGTCACCCAGTGTGGTTTTGGGGTCACCTAGCATGGTTTGGGGTCACCCAGTGTGGTTTGGGGTCACCCAATATGGTTTGGAGTCACCCAGTGTGGTTTTGGGGTCACTCAATATGGTTTGGGGTCACCCAATATGGTTTGGGGTCACCCAATATGGTTTGGGGTCACCCAGTGTGGTTTTGGGGTCACTCAGTGTGGTTTGGGGTCACCCAGCATGGTTTGGGGTCACCCAATATGGTTTGGGGTCACCCAGTGTGGTTTTGGGGTCACCCAGTGTGGTTTGGGGTCACCCAATATGGTTTGGGGTCACCCAGCATGGTTTGGGGTCACCCAATATGGTTTGGGGTCACCCAGCGTGGTTTTGGGGTCACCCAGTGTGGTTTTGGGGTCAGTCAGCGCGGTTTGGGGTCACCCAGCATGTTTTAGGGTCACTCAATATGGTTTGGGGTCACCCAGCATGGTTTGGGGTCACCCAGCATGGTTTGGGGTCACTCAATATGGTTTGGGGTCACCCAATATGGTTTGGGGTCACCCAATATGGTTTGGGGTCACCCAGTGTGGTTTTGGGGTCACTCAGTGTGGTTTGGGGTCACCCAGCATGGTTTGGGGTCACCCAGCATGGTTTGGGGTCACCCAGCATGGTTAGGGTCACTCAATATGGTTTGGGGTCACCCAGTGTGGTTTTGGGGTCACTCAGTGTGGTTTGGGGTCACCCAGCATGGTTTGGGGTCACCCAATATGGTTTTGGGGTCACCCAGTGTGGTTTTGGGGTCACCCAATATGGTTTCGGGTCACCCAGTGTGGTTTGGGGTCACCCAATATGGTTTTGGGGTCACCCAGTGTGGTTTTGGGGTCACCCAATATGGTTTCGGGTCACCCAGTGTGGTTTGGGGTCACCCAATATGGTTTGGGATCACCCAGTGTGGTTTTGGGGTCACTCAGTGTGGTTTGGGGTCACCCAGAGTGTTTTTGGGGTCCCAGTGTGGTTTTGGGGCCCCCCAGCCCGTTTTGGGGTCCAGGCGTGGTTTGCGGTCCCCAGCCGGTTTTGGGGTTCCATTTTGGGGTCCCCAGCCAGTTTTGGGGTCCTGTTTCAGGGTCCCAGTGTGGTTTGGGATCGCCCATCCTGTTTTGGGGTCCAAGCCCGGTTTGGGGTCCCAGCCTGTTTTGGGGTCCCAGACTGGTTTGAGGTCCCGTTTTGGGGTCCCAGCGCAGTTTGGGGTCCCATTTTGGTGTCCCAGCTCAGTTTGGGGTCCCAGCCCCTTTTGGGGTCCCCATTTGGGGTCCCAGTGCAGTTTGGGGTCCCAGCCCATTTTGGGGTCCCAGTGCAGTTTGGGGTCGTCCCAGCCCATTTTGGGGTCCCAGTGTGGTTTGGGGTCCCAGCCCATTTTGGGGTCCCAGCTTGTTTTGGGGTCCCAGCCCATTTTGGGGTCCCGTTTGGGGGTCCCAGCCCGGTTTGGGGTCCCGTTTGGGGGTCCCAGCCCATTTTGGGGTCCTGGTGTGGTTTGGGGTCCCAGCCTGTTTTGGGGTCCCGTTTGGGGGTCCCACTGTGGTTTGGGGTCCCAGCCCATTTTGGGGTCCCGTTTGGGGGTCCCAGCCCGGTTTGGGGTCCCGTTTTGGGGTCCCAGCCCGGTTTGGGGTCCCGTTTTGGGGTCCCAGCCTGGTTTGGGGTCCCGTTTGGGGGTCCCAGCCCATTTTGGGGTCCCGTTTGGGGGTCCCAGCCCGTTTTGGGGTCTGTCCCAGCTGCAGGAGGCCGCCCGGAGCTGGGCCCGGGAGCAGCAGGAGCTGGGGATGCGCCTGCGGGAGCGGGAGCACGGCCTGGCCCTGGTGAGCGTGGGGGACAGGGGGGACACCAGTGTCCCCAGTGACCCCAGTGTCCCCAATGTCCCCAGTGACCTACAGTGACCTACAGTGACCCCCACGACCCCAGTGTCCTACAGGGACCTACAGTGACCCCGTGACCCCAATGTCCCCAGTGACCCACAGCATCCCCAGTGACCCCCAGTGTCCCCAGTTTCCCCAGTGCCCCCGATGTCCCCAGTGTCCTACAGTGTCCCCGGTGACCCCAATGTCCTACAGCGTTCCCAATGTTCCAGGTGTCCCCCAGTGTACCAAATGTCCCCAAGCATCCCCAGTGTCCCCAGTATCCCCAGTGTCCCCAGTGTCCTGCAGTGTCCCCAGTGTCCCCAGTGACCCGCAGTGTCCCCAGTGTCCCCAGTGACCCGCAGTGTCCCCAGTATCCCTGGTGTCCCCAGTGGCCCCGGTGTCCTACAGTGTCGCTGGTGACCCCAATGTCCTACAGTGACCTACAGTGACCCCCACGACCCCAGTGTCCTACAGGGACCTACAGTGACCCCTGTGACCCCAATGTCCCCCGTGACCAGCAGTGTCCCCAGTGTCCTCAGTGACCTCAGTGTCCCCAGTGTTCCAGGTATCCCCCAGTGTACCAAATGTCCCCAGCGTCCCAGTGTCCCCAGTGTCCTACAGTGACATACAGTGTCCCCAGTGTCCCCAATGTCCCCAGTGTCCCCAGTGACCTCCAGTGACCCCAGTGTCCCCAATATCCCAAATGTCCCCAGTGTCCTACAGTACCTCCAGTACCCCCTGTGTCCCCAGTGTCCCAGGTGACCTATAGTGACCCCAATGTCCCCAGTAACCCACAGCATCCCCAGTGACCCCAATATTCCCGGTGTCCTTAATCTCCCCAATGTTCCTGGTGTCCTGCAGTGTCCCCAGTGACCCCCAGTGTCCCCAGTGACCTGCAGTGTCCCCAGTGTCCCCAGTGTCCCCAGTGTCCCCAGTGACCTGCAGTGTCCCCAGTGGCCCCGGTGTCCCCGGTGTCCCCAATATTCCCGGTGTCCCCAATGTCCCCAATGTTCCTGGTGTCCTGCAGTGTCCCCAGTGTCCCACAGTGTCCCCAGTGTCCCCCGTGTCCTACAGTGACCCCAGTGTCCCCAATGTCCCAGGTGACCTACAGTGACCCCCATGACCCCAGTGTCCTACAGGGACCTACAGTGACCCCTGTGACACCAATGTCCCCCGTGACCAGCAGTGTCCCCAGTGACCCCAGTGACCCCAGTGTCCCCAGTGTTCCAGGTGTCCCCCAGTGTACCAAATGTCCCCAGCGTCCCAGTGTCCCCAGTGTCCTACAGTGACATACAGTGTCCCCAATGTCCCCAGTGTCCCCAGTGACCTACAGTGACCCCAGTGTCCCCAATATCCCCCATGTCCCCAGTGTCCTACAGTACCCCCAGTGTCCCCAGTGACCCCAGTGTCCCCAATGTCCCAGGTGACCTACAGTGACCCCCATGACCCCAATGTCCCCAGTGACCCGCAGTGTCCCCAGTGTCCCCAGTGACTCACAGCATTCCCAGTGACCCCAATGTCCCCAGTGACCCCAATGTCCCCGGCGTCCCCAGTGTCCCCAGTGACCAACAGCATCCCCGGTGACCCCAATGTCCCCAGTGACCCCAATGTCCCCGGTGTCCCCAGTGTCCCCAGTGACCCACAGTGTCCTCAGTGTCCCCAATATCCCCAGTGCCCCCAATGTCCCCAGTGACCCACAGTGACCCCAATGTCCCCGGTGCCCCCCAGTGTCCCCAGTGTCCCCTGCCCACTGCAGAGGGGGTGCTGGATTTCCTGTCCCCCATAAATGCCCTCCCTGTGCCCCCAGACTCTTCTGTCCCTTTCCGTGCCCCCCTGGGCGCTGCCCCCCCTGCGCTGACCCCGCAGCGCCGCCGCCGCCCTCGGAGCCGCTTTCCCATGGAGCAGAGGCCAAGCAGAACATTCCAGAACATTCCAGAGAGTCCAGAACATTCCAGAGGGTCAGAGGAGCTCGATGGGACCCCGGGGACCCCCCATCCCACCCCATCCCCCTCCCCGCGGGCGGCCCTGCTTTATCTCTGCCATGGCATAAGCGCGGCCTTGAGCCGAGGCCGCGGCCCTGAGAGCGTCCCTGCTGTCCCCAAATGCCACCGCGGGGCCGCCAGGATGTGGGGGTGTCCCCAGGGAGGGGGTCCTCAGGGCTGGCCGTCGAGGGGCCGCAGGGTCAGCTGGATGGGCTGGTCCGGGATCAGGATGAGGTCGAACTTGGTGCCGATCTCCACGGCCCGCATGGTCTCGATCTTGAAGTTCTCCAGGATCTGGGATGGAGAGGACACGGCGGTGGGGCAGGTTGGCTTTGGGGACACCGCGGTGGGGCAGGGCCCAGGGTGACCTTTGAGGCCACTCTGAGCCCAGCCAAACCAGGATTCCACAGGGACAAACCCCATGGCCACCGTGCTGTCCCTTTGTGTCGGGGATTCCATAGGGACAGACCCTGTGGCCACCATGCTGTCCCCTCATGTCGGGGACTGTACGGGGATGGGCCCCATGGCCACCGCGCTGTCCCCTCACAGCAGGACCCCACATGACAGACCTCGCAGCCACCACACTGTCCTCTGTCAGAGACTCCATGGGGATAGACCCCGTGGCCACCGAACTGTCCCCTCGTAGTAGGGACCACATGTGACAGACCTCGCTGTCTGCTGGCATCACGGACTCCATGAGGACAGACCCTGTGGCCACCGCGCTGTCCCCTCATGTCAGGGACCCTGCAGGATGGACCCCGTGGCCACCGCGTTGTCCCCTTGTGGCGGGGACTCCATGGGGATGGACCCTACAGCCACCACGCTGTCCCCTCACATTGGTGACGGACTCCATGGCCACTGCGCTGTCCCCTCGCATCAGGGACCCCGCAGGATGAACGCTGCGGCCACCACGCTGTCCCCTCATTCAGAGACTCCACAGGGACAGACCCTGTGGCCACCAGGCTGTCCGCTCACATCAGAGACTCCACGGGGACAGACCTCACACTGGGGACCTTGTGGGACAGACCCCGAAGCCACTGTCAGGGACCCTGTGAGATGGACCCCACAGCCACCACGCTGTCCCCTCGTGTCAGGGACCCTGTGAGATGGACCCCATGGCCACCACGCTGTCCCCTCGTGTCAGGGACCCTGTGGGATGGACCCCATGGCCACCACGCTGTCCCCTCACATTGTAAACTCCATGGGATGAACCCCACAGCCACCACGCTGTCCCCTCACATCAGGGACCCCACGGGATGGATCCCACAGCCACCACGCTGTCTCCTGGCACTGGGGATCCCATGGGATGAACCCCACAGCCACCACGCTGTCCCCTCACATTGGGGACCCCACGGGATGGATCCCACAGCCACCACGCTGTCTCCTGGCACTGGGGATCCCATGGGATGAACCCCACAGCCACCACGCTGTCCCCTCACATTGGGGACCCCACGGGATGGATCCCACAGCCACCACGCTGTCTCCTGGCACTGGGGATCCCATGGGATGAACCCCACAGCCACCACACTGTCCCCTGGCACTGGGGATCCCATGGGATGGACCCCACAGCCACCACACTGTCCCCTGGCACTGGGGATCCCATGGGATGAACCCCACAGCCACCACGCTGTCCCCTCACATCAGGGACCCCATGGGACAGACCCCACAGCCACCACGCTGTCCCCTCACATTGTGAACTCCATGGGATGAACCCCACAGCCACCACGCTGTCCCCTCACGTTGTGAACTCCATGGGATGGACCTCACTGCCACCACGCTGTCCCCTCACATCAGGGACCCCATGGGATGGATCCCACAGCCACCACGCTGTCCCCTTGCATTGGGGACCCCATGGGATGGATCCCACAGCCACCACACTGTCCCCTCATATCGGGGACCCCGTGGGATGGCCTCAGTGGCCACCACGCTGTCCCCTGGCACTGGGGATCCCATGGGATGAACCCCACAGCCACCACGCTGTCCCCTGCGGTGGGGACGGCGGGACACTCACGTGCATGAGGAAGAGCTGCATCTCCAGCTCGGCGATGCGGCGGCCCAGGCACTGGCGCGGCCCGAAGCCGAAGCCGAGCCCCAGGAAGGGCTTGGGGCCGGCGGCGAGCCAGCGCTGCGGGCGGAAGCGCTCGGGCCGCGGGAACACGTCGGGGTCACGGCCCATGGCGTACAGCCCCACCTGTACCAGCGTCTGCGCGGGACACAGCGGGGACAGGGGCATCGTGTCACCGTGTCATCGTGCCCTTGTGTCCTCAGGTCCTCCTTCATGTCCCTGTGTCCCCACATCGCCGCATCCCCATATCCCCGTGTCCTTGTGCATACCCTCATCCCCACATCCCCATGTCTTCATGTCCTTGTGTCCCCATGTCCTCATGTCCCTGTGTCATTATGTCCTTGTGTCCTCATGTCCTCATGTCCTCATGTCCCCATGTCCTCATGTCCTTGTGTCCCCATGTCCTCACGTCCTTATGTCCCTGTGTCCTCATGTCCTCGTGTCCTCATGTCCCTGTGTCCCCACATCCCCATATCCTCATGTCCTTGTGTCACTGTGTACCCTCATCCCCACATCCCCATGTTCCCATGTCCTCATGTCCTTATGTCCCTATGTCCCCATGTCCTCATGTCCTCATATTCCTGCATCCCCATGTCCCCATGTCCACAAGTCTTTGTGTCCCCACATCCCTGTGTCACTGTCACCATGTCCCCACCTCCCTATGTCCCATGTCCCGTCATCCCTGTGTCCTGGTGTCCCCACATCCTCACCCCCCCATGTCCCTCCAGCCATGTGTCCCCATACCCTCATGTCCCCACATTCTCCTGTCCCCATGTCCCCATATGCCTGTGTGCCCCTGTCCCCACTGTCCCCCTGTTCCAACTGTCCCCGTGTCCCCACATCCCCATGTCCCCAGTGTCCCCGTGTCCCCACTGTCCCCGTGTCCCCGTGTCCCTCACCCCGGGCGGGATGCGGTAGTCCTGCAGGATGACCTCGTGCGTGGTGTACCTCTGCAGGGTCACGGCCACCGGGTGCAGCCTGCGCGACACGTGCCACCAGGGCTTTGGGGACACTGCAGGCAGGGCGGGCATGTCCTCCTCACCTGAGCTCCTCCTCCTCACCTGAGCTCCTCCTTCTCACCTGAGCTCCTCCTCCTCCTCACCTGAGCTCCTCCTCCTCACCTGAGCTCCTCCTCCTCCTCACCTGAGCTCCTCCTACTCTTCCTCACCTGAGCTCCTCCTACTCTTCCTCACCTGAGCTCCTCCTCCTCACCTGAGCTCCTCCTCCTCCTCACCTGAGC